GAGAACATCACTGAGTTTCTAGCTTTGTTTGCAAATTTGCGGAGTGGGTTTAGGCCCGTTTACTAAAAACGTAATTATTCAGGCCCCCTGACCATATAGGCCCCCAACAACTTCCAAGCATTCAGCAAATCTTTCAAATACAGGACATTGGACAACCCCCATATCATGGGGACCCCCAAAGAGGCACCCCTAATTCTAGGAATCCCCCCCATATATATATATATATTGGGTACTGCCCCCAGTAACAGTCTATATTAGGGTTCCTAATAAGGGCCATATATAGCCATACTATAATTATTATCCAACTGTTACTGAGGGGGGGCAGTACCCAACATATATATATATATATGTATTGTATTGCCAACTCTGGGTCCCAAAATCTATAGATATTACCTGCATTGGCCTAATTGGATCCCTAGGGCTAAATCCTTGCCAATGTTATGTTCCCAGATTGTACCCACGCTACAAACACTTCGTTTAAGCACAGGTTCCATTTCACGTTTAATTTTCTTGTCCAATTCTTTCGCCATCTTTGCTAAGTAATCATGCCCCACGAGCGCCGGAGCCCTAAGCCTAATTTAAGCCCCTAGACCCTAAACCCTGAACCCCAAACCCAAATCTAAGCAATTCTTAAGAACATTCGCACCATTCCCCGCTTCCAAAGCGCTTAGAGTTCCCCCTAAGTTGATAGGATACGGCTTTGGGTATATCATAATAAGATCCCCGGATACCCCATATTCTATCTACTTAAGGGGGGCTAAACTCTAAACCCTATAAACCCTATATTGTATCTACTTAAGGGGGACTAAACCCTAAACCCTAAACCCCATAAACCCCATAGTCTACTTAAGGGGGACTAGAAAACCCAGGTTCTCTGCTTCAGAGATCTTTGGCTCGAAGACCACCATGAGCTCCTGAGCTCCTCTTAAGGTTAGGGTTTAGGGTTTAGGGTCTACCAAAGGGCTCCTGTGTAGTTCCTTTTTGGGTCTGTTATGGTTTTTTGGTAAGGGATTATGAGAGACTACCCAAAAAGGAACTACATAGGAGGGTCTGGGTTTGGGGTTTTGGGCTTAGGATTTTGGGTTTGGGGGTCTATATAAGTTAGGGTTCAGGGATTTTGGGGTCTAGGCTTTAGGGTTTGGGGGTTTTGGGTTGGGTTTTCGGTTTGGAGTTTAAGGTTTGAGGTTTAAGGTTTAAAGAGCTTTGGTTTGAGGATGTTGATTTCAGGGTGTGGGGTTCAGGGTTTAGGGCTCAGGGTGGGTCGGGTCCAGAACCTACTTGCATCGATCCTTATGCCTAACCCGATTCCCTAGGCTTCCTGATTTTGAGGATGCTTAGTGAAAACAAGTGAAGGACCCTGAAACGGAGCAAGGCATGAGGGTCTGGGATGGGTTGGGGGGCTCAAGGCCCTAAACCCTAAACCCTAAACCGCTTTGGGCGGTTTAGGGTTTCGGAGTCCAGGTTGAGGATTCAGTGGGTCGAGTCCCTCGAAGTTTCAACGTTCAGGGTCATGAGGTTTAGGGTTTAGGGTCATGAAGTTTGGGGTTTAGGGTTCCCTAAATCAAGGGCTGTTTTTGATGGTACCCGCAGTGGGGGTTTTGGTATTTGGGGTTGTATACTAGGGCCACCTATTCACGGAAACTACCCAGACCTAAATCCTAAGCCGTTAAACTAAAAACGCTAAACCCTAAGCCCTCAAACCCTAAACCCTGAACCCCCCTAGGCTTAATTAACCTTAATTAGGCTTAACTCTCCCTAAATACCTTTAATTAAGGGGGAACCTTGGGGGGGTAGTATAGAGGGGGGTACTACTTGAACCCATGAGTATTCTGAAAGCTCATAGCTAGGAATCAGAACCTTGGGTTTTAGTTTTTCGGTTTTAAGGTCTAGGGTGTACTCCTAAAAAGGAGTCCCAGCTAGTTTGGGAAGTCTTGGTCGCATTGATCATATGGGGGTTTCCGAGAATCGGGGGGTGGGGGGGGGCCTTTGAGATGCCCATACAAGTAATATGAGCTATAGTCTAAACTCCTTAAAGGGGGTTGTATAGGGTATAATATAGGGAGCCACTTTAGGGGTTATTAAGGGGGATACTAGGAGTTTGGACAAGGTCTCATATAGGGATTCTAGTGCATTGTTTAGGGTTTAGGGTTTAGGGCATTTGGGTCTATGTCTGGCCCTTCTTGGCTATTATGTGCCATTGCCTGGTTTCGTGAAACCCTTAATGTGGCCACACGTGGTCACGCACAGCTACGACCCTAAACCCCAAAGCACTGTTCTACGGGGATCGCACGGGGCTTCGGCTTTTATACGATATTTGAAGCCCGACCTGCAGGCTTGGAAAACCCAACATAGTACCTGAACCCCTAAAGTATGTGAAATAGTTGCCCCATGGCTTCCGCAAACATGGGCAAAAGTCTTACAATGCAACGTTGGGCCCTGTTTAGTATAGCCCCCCCCAAACAGAGATTATTCTGATTAATATTCAGCCACCCCCTAAATTTGCCGCGCAATTAAAATCATAAAGGCTGTCAGAACGCGCAAGCTGTTTCTGCTCTGCTCTTATTAGGTAAAGCTAAGCTAATAAGGGAATAACTTTTGCTATAGTTTTTTTTGATTCCAGAATAATTTATTTTTCCGGCCCCCTCAAACAATACCAGATCCTGAATAATTTTCCCTGAAAACTTATCATTCCGAAACCCTCTTCAAACCGGGGTCTAACACTATTCTGGTGGCTGCATGTGCTTTCTCTCTCGTGTGATTATTCCACTATCTATCAGACGTCCTCTGCTTGATGGCAACCCAACAAGTCCGAGTACCCAATAGTTAGGTATCTGGGCAATTGCGTAATACTGTTCTAATGCAGGTGATGGGTATGTATATGATTATTGTGTACTTGAACCCTTTTTGTAACCCTAAACCCCAAAACCCTAAAACCCTAAACCCTCAAACCCTAAAAGTCTCAAACCCTAAACCTTAGTGTAGCCCTCAACCCTAAACCCTAGGTGGCTACACCTACGACGATCTCATCTGCCTCCCTGGTCACATCAACTTTGGGGTGCACGATGTGGCGCTGGGCTCGCGATTCACAAAGAAGAGTCCAGGCTGCAGATAGCCAATCCCAAAGGGTCCAAGTACCCAAAGGGGTTTAGGGTTTAGGGTTTAGAGAATTAGGTTCCCTTTTAAGGGGATATATAAGGGGTATATAGGGGGTATATAAAGGTATATTGGGTTTGTTTGGGCTCCAAGTACCCAATAGTTAGGCCCCCTTTAAAAGGGACATATAAGGGCTATATAGGGGTATATAGGGGTATATAGGGGTATATAGGGTTTAGGGTATATAGGGTTTAGGGTTCAGGGTCCAAGTACCCAATAATTTAGGCACTTGGGTTTTGGGTAGTGGGTAGCGGTTTTGGGTAAGTATATGATTATTAGGACCCTTAGGGTAAGGTGTCCTTGAATGGAACTGAATAGGGCTTAGTTAGTGGATGTTATAGGGTTTCGGAAGAAGTTTTGGGCGGAAAGGGGCTAATCTTGTGATCTTCCACGTACAGAAGAAGGCTACATGGGCTTCAAGAGCTCAGGGCTGTGGCCCTAAACCCTAAAACCTTAAACCCTCAGCCCGACAGCCTCGGCCCCGCCTCCTCCACCACAGCCAAAGCCCCGAATCATGTACGCGAACGGCCGATCAGCCGAGACACAAGGTATAGGCTCTAATTCTAAGGGTCCAAGTACCTAATAATCATATACTTACCCAAAACCTGTACTATAATTACTATTACCCTAAACCCAAGTACCTGATTATTGAGTACTTGGACCCTCTGGGTAATGTATAAGCCTAGAGAATGACCAATGTTAAGGTCCTAGGTTTCTTATATATCTATGATATAGGGTACCTCAAATAGACCTCGAGACGATATTGGCAAGTCTTTAGCACCCTATAACTAGTGCGGGCACTTGACCTTTGCTGTTAGCATTCTCAGGATGTACAGATGTAAAAGCTTGTGGGGCAGGGGGAATGGAGAAAGAAGATCTGCTGCAATTATGGCAGGCTTTTGACATGTCGACCTTGCCGTACTGGACTTACAATACACATTTATCCTTGTGCATCGTGTATACAACCTCTGGTCGGGACTTGGAGCTAGTGCAAGCCGCTATGAACCAGTCATGCTTCCCCTTCCACGAGAACATCCGAATTCAGATGCACGAAGTGCAGGTGGTGGTGGTGATGATGATGATGATGATGGTGAGGATGGTGATGATGAGAATGACGGTGAGTTTTGGGGTTGGGGTTTGTCAGGGTGATAGCGTGGTAGCGATGCTGTTCATGATGCTGAGGAATGACGGTCATTTTAAGGAAGCATGATTTCATGAACATGCTGATCCTCAACATGATCCATCATAACGGTCGTCTGCAGCGTTGAAAACTCTCGCCTCGACTATGCAAACATCAACTTCAGTGCCCTTAAGCCGTAATCAATCCCTACACGATCAGGTGTTTACTCTCCTGTTAATTTGATTCTCCCTTATTGAGTAATGGCCCCGTATGAGCTGTAGTCGAAATTCCTTAAAGGGGGTTGTCTAGGGGTTTTTTATAGGGAATATTATGGGGTCCATTAAGGGGGATACTAGAAATTTAGACTCTAGCTCATATATGCCAACAGACATTACTACCCTGAAGCCTAGAGATACCGTTCCTTAGTCTTAAACCTTGCAATGCCATTGCAATGCCAGTATAGGGCACAGAAAGCTCATATAAGCTATAGTCTAAACTCCTTAAAGGGTGTTAGTTAGGGTTTAGGGTTTAGGGTCTAAACTCCTTAAAGGGGTGTTAGTTAGGGTTTAGGGTTTAG